ATTTTTGGAGGATGGGGATAATTCAGTCAATCATTTATTGTGGCATTTTATTATTACCTATGGTAATCATAGCTACTACTTGCTGAATGATGACTCTAAGCAAGACACTGCTATCAAATTTATTCCTTATAACAAACTAACAAAAAAATTTTGAAGAGTGCTTATGAGATAGGTGCTCTGTTATCGGCATATCCATTTTATACAGGAGAAAACTGAGTCCAAGGAGAGGTAAAAGTGATTTGCCCAGGAAGAGGAACAGATGAGATGTGAACCTAGGGTAATTTTTAAAGTCTAAAGTTCATATACACTACAGGGTTTCATCTCAGTTAAAAAAAAAAATAAAACGTGTGCACTCTCCATTATATTACATTGTCTGATGATTGATAACAATTCCAAACCTTGCATTTGTAAAGTGGTTAGAGCTTCAAGTGATGGCTGTGTTTTACCAAGGTTAAGACATTCAATTCATGGAAGCTGCGTAACTAGCATGTGGGGATCTCTGGTCCTTTGGCCCCCAGGCCAGGGATTGTTTTTTTTACTCCAATTATTTCCTGCCCTGACACCGAGGCATGGTGGCAGAGTGAGGGATGAAGTATGAGCTATGAAGTTCCCCCACTCCCACCAATATCCCACCAAAGCAGAAACAACTGGGAGCTGTAGCATCCTCTTTGGTATGCTCTGGAAGAGAAAGGGGTAAAAAGACTGACCTTCAATCACGAGTCCTTTAAGACACCCTAGTTGATAATATATTTTCCAAAAATCAAATTGTTCCCAAAGGGAAAGAAATCCTACAGGATTATGTCATTTAGAAATAGTTAACAAGAGGGCAGAGTCTAAAAGAAGCAGCTGGGCTGAAGATTTCCAGGCTCCCTGCAGGATACCTTCACCATACTGTCCTTCCTGAGTGGACAGAGGGAGAAGGAGAGACAAAGTGGTCCCAGAATAGCATTAATCAGAACTTAAGAACTTTGGGGCCAGGTTAGACTTGGTGTTCATGCATCCAGCTTTCCATTCATTGCCAACGGTAATGCCAAGAAATGTGTACAGGTCCTGATATTCTGGGGTACAGCTATAAACCTTCTATGCAGAAACCTCACCAGCGTATACATGCATACACACACATATTCATGGAGTGGATGGGAACAGTATTTATGTTGGGAATGATAAGAAAGTATAGATAGTGGTGTTGGGTACACACCCTGGGAATGTAATTAATGTCACTGAACTTGTATACTACGAATGGTTACAATGATAAGTTTATGTTATGTAAATTTTACCATAATAATTTTTTTAAAGGAGTAGAAACAGATGGTTAAGCTCTCTGAAGCCTACCAGTAGATGTACATCACAGAGGAGTTATGGGTCTTTTAAATTCAGATTATGAACATCTGGTTTAACTGATGCACCTTGTTGGTCTCCGGGACTTCATTGTCAGCATTAGTACTCTGATTTCCTCAATGTGGACACTGGCTATGAAGAATCAAAAAAAAAACTGAGGTTCAATACCTCCTTTGCAGTCCTGAATAGGTATTCTAGTACTTCGCTTTTGAATGCTGGACTATGTGCTATGCATTCTCTTGAGTTGTATCCTCTGCTAAACTGAGACTAAACAAAGTTCCTATTTTAACATTCTGTGACATGTGCAAATATATAATAGAAAAATAAGGACAATAGTATTGATTATTTCATACAATTCCTGTCAACCAATGTGGTTTCTAAGCATAAAAGCGAATCAAAATACAGAATGAAAACCCTCAGCAAAGTAAAATCTTCCGGGAAACAGCCTGTCTTTGCCAACATCACTACCTGCATCCTGAAATGCAGGTTTGAACATACACAAACAATCACATAATCATCATGTAAAGTGACTCAATTCAGGTTTCAAGGCACAGAGATATATGATGTGGGCAGAGCCAGACTCCCACGAGTTTATAAATAAAAAATTCCTATGAGTTTATATACTCTTGTGAGTCTATAAATAAAACTACTTCTGTGTTTGGTATTTATGGTAGACTCTGCCATCAACATTTATTAAAATAAGGTTTAATTTCAGACCTAGAACTCCACAGAACTGGAAGGAGTAAGAAATGGCTCTAGTCCTCATGAACTGAAAGGTAAAAACAAAGACAACTTTTCTAAGGCATGCAATAATGAGATGCAAATCAATTCACAGTATTAGTGCTGGGAAAAGAAAGATCTAGGCATTTGAAAAGAGATGTAGGCAAATAAAAAACAAAAGTAAGATGGAAATACTAGGGCTTTGGGACTGCCTCCCTGAGATGCAACTAAGGGTAAAGGAGACAGGTCAGAGGATCCACTTCCCTTCTGCCAAATTCTAGGACTATCTAGGAAGAGCTAAAGATGTAGTGTAATCCTGTGTTTTAGGAGAAAGAATTGGAAAAGCCTTATGGCATGTGAAAATCTTCCACTTAGAAAAACCAGGTTAATAAAGAAGGAGATGGGCTGGATGCAGTGGCTGGCACCTATAATCCCAGCACTTTGGGAGCCCAAGGCAGGTGGATCACTTAAGGCCAGGAGTTTGAGATCAGCCTGGCCAACATGGCAAAATCATCTCTACTAAATATACAAAAATTAGTTAGGCATAGTGGTATACGCCTGTAATCCCAGCTACTCAGGTGACTGACGTACAAGAGTTGCTTGAACCCAGGAGGCAGAGGTTGCAGTGAGCCAAGATCATGCTACTGCACTCCAGCCTGGGCGACTGAGTGAGGCTCTGTCTTAAAAAATAAAAAATTTTAAAAAAGAAAGGAGATGAAGGGTGTGTGGCATGGATGGTTTTTAAGGGAGAAGGAGTAGCTCATACAAGGAGACTGTGTGTCGTGTGTGTGTGTGTGTATGTGTACGCATGTGTGTGTGCACATGAGCACATGGATATCCCTGGTTGGAGCATGTGATTTTGGGGCAATGAAGAACACTAAAAGATAAAGTTAGAGGACCAGAGAGAGGCTAGATCATCAACAGCCTCACAAGAAACTTATAATTTGTATAGGCAAGAAATGACCCCACCCCTCTGACCTATATAGGCCTTACTCCTGCTCTAAGATCCAGCTGTCACTGGTGTATCTTTTTACTAATCTCCCTTGGCAGGTATTATAAATATTATTTGTACTTACCTTGAGAATGTCCTGGGTTCTCTTGCCAACTAGGCTTAGGTGTCTTGAGAACACAAACCAAATATTTATTTTATGTCTACAGTGTTTAAGAATTCTTTGCACATCCATGCTTTTAAAAAACATTGATTATCTACATCAGGCACTCTTCTAGGTATCAAAAAAAAATTGCTCCCTTCTCTTCTAGGGCAAGTAAGAGCAGCCCAGAGTAGGTGTTTATATGTAATCTCTGATTCCTTTGCTAAACTGTTAAGCCCAGTCACAAAATCTTTAGTTACTCTGATAGATGCCTTTCATTAAAAACATCTTTATAGAGATTGCCTTTTATAAATATTACACAAAGATACATCTTTATATGTATAAATGCTTCTATAATGATATTATATCTCTTCTATAATGATATTATATCTTTATGAAGGTGATTTCCGAGGGAAAATTATCCAGATTATCACAGCTCTTTCAAGGTCAAATAAAATTTCTATGAAATACTGTGTAGGATGTTCCACAGTCCTAAAATTATGAAAATAATGGCACTGACTTAGCCTCCAAACAAGAAAAATCCATTTGAAAGATTTGCCTTACATTAAAAACAAAATATCTATCCACATTTTTGTTTGATGTTAATTCACTTGTTCTGAATTAGCTAATAGGTGGAATAAGAGTTGGAAGGTTATTTTATTACAGTAGATTTTAAAGAGCTGCACTTAAAATATCCATTACAGAATGGCAATTTAGATCAAACCACTTCAGAACGATGTTATCAGTGCTTTATCAAAGACTGGTCCCCACAGCTACATCAGGAGCAGCCCCCGGGAAGTTGTCAGAAATGCAGATTCTCATGCTTCCCTTGTCCTTCTGAATCAGAAGTCTGTGTTTAACAAGCCCTCCAGGTGATTCTGATGCACATTAAAATTTGAGACTGTTCTCAAAATGTGCTGAAAAAGAGGTCCTTAAAACTCTCCCATATCTTATTGATTATTAGGGCAGGAAGGAGCCTTAGAAAGCATAAATGCCAATTTTCTTGTGTGTTTTACAGATCTGGAAACTGAGGCCCAGAGATTATCAATGGGAACTCGAATTTGGAGCAAAGTATGTTCCAGCATCAAAGCTGAGATCCTAGATACACAGCATTGTCAATCAGCTATCGTTTTACATATTTGACATCAAGTTTCACTTTTAAAGGATCCATGCATAGAAAGCTCATTCTATTTATTAATAGGCCCAAATGAATCTAAAGACTAAGTCAAAAATATTTAGAGATGTTCTTGAGAGGGGGAAAACAGCCTTTTTTTAGTAAGTCAGAATTCAGTGGTCAGAAATATCAGGCTCGATATCAAATTCAAACCTAAGCCAACTCTCAGTTCCTTAACCAGGCTAAAACTAGGAATATTTCTCTGCCTAGTTCAAAAAACTTCTTAAAATATATTAATGGAAAGACATTTTCATTAATACTTGTTGGTACTGCTGTAGCCACATTGCCTCATCTTGATACCAAGCAGCAATAAAGAAGAGTCAAAGGCATAATTAGTGTAACAGCATGAAGGCAGCCAACTGCCCTAGCAGCAGTGCAATCTCCAAATTAAGCCTCATGAACAATGTACCATGGAACAACCAGCCACCAGAAGACTTGAGACCCCAACTTCGATGGTATTTCATTGACAGATAAACTTTCCGGTAAGTATCCTCAGCCAAGGAAAATCTTTAGGATGTCTCATAGCAGCCTAACAAATATTTTGTGGACAGAGTGTCCAGATTGTATAGTTTTTCAGCTTCAGATGCGTAAGGGCAAATGCTTTGAGGGTGTCTCTAAGGAGGAAAAACACCCTGTCATGTCTTCAACAGCACGATCTCAGGGCTAAAAATCCTTACCCGGCTGTGAAATTTGGCAGTTCGATAAGACTTAGGTGACAGATTGTATACTGTGTAGTGGTCAAGATGTCTGGAATCCAAAAAGCTTCGAATGTCATCAACCTGATTCCTGAATCCTATATCAACATTGTCCAGAGGAAAGGACATCACTAGGAGAGATCACACAGAAAGAGAACAGGTTAAAAGTTTAGGTCTGCTGTCACAATGGGCAGCAACTGGAAGCGGAGCCAAAGGACAGTTAATAAACATGAGAAACTTACCAATAATTCTGGAGGTAACATAAGTGAAGTCTAAATCTCCTTTTGTGTAGCTAAAAGCAAGACAAAATATGGACACTCATTAAAATGATCCAAATATGCCAAGATTTCTCTCTCTCAATCACTTGCACATATGAACTGGGAAACTGCTGTTCAGGGGCATCTTTTGACTCCCCTCTAGCCCTTCTCTCTAACAAGGAAGGATCACTGAGAAAAGACAGCCCATAACCTCAGGGGTATAAATAATGCCACTCCAACTGGTGCATTCTAATGCCCTTGTAGGTGCCACTTCATGATCTGAATCAATCTCAGAATAGAAAACTCTGCTTATTTATCAACACCAATTGTTCTAGCTTCTTTACCTACATGGAAATATCTTCCATACTTGTAAGTGGCAAAGGGGTAGAAGAAGAAGTAGTTGAGAAAAAATAAATGCCACCATTTTTCTGCCTACCAGGCCCTGGTTGAGAATCAGAGGTAGGAGTAAGTTTTACCTTTGAACAAAGATTAAAATTTTGATTAATATATTGGACTTGACAGTTGAATTTCTGATTTAGAACTGCATATTGTAACTCAAAGTAACCCTAGAATTTTCTGACACTTAGTAAATATATTATGCTTCCCTTGTCCTTCTGAATCAGAAGTCTGTGTTTAACAAGCCCTCCAAGTGATTCTGAGGCACACTAAAATTTGAGACTGTTTTCAGAATACGCTGAAAAAGAGGTCCTTAAAACTCTCCCATATCTTATTGATTATTAGGGCAGGAAGGAGGCTTAGAAAGCATATACACCAATTTTCTTGTGTGTTTTACAGATCTGGAAACTGAGGCCCAGAGATTACCAGTGGGAACTGGAATTTGGAGCAAAGTATGTTCCAGCATCATCAATAAAAAAATAATTCTTGTGAACTGCTTATAAGAATTTTCATACAGTGAAAGAGTAAAAAACTTCTCTCACTGAATAGTTAAAGGGCTAGAAGGACATAAAAACAAAGTTCTGATTTGATTACAATCCATAGGTAATGCTTATTCAGATTGTATATATATTTTAATCTCATTGAATCCCTAATAGCAACCCAAAGACACAAATCCTGTCAGGGTACAAAAGCAAAGCTCAGAGAGGTTAATCAACTTACCTCAGGGCTCTTAGTTAACAAAGGCAGATATTGCATTAGACCCCAGCATGTCTGATTCTAAAGCCAGGGAGGGCAACCATTATACTCTAATGTCGTGACAAACTGAGTGCTCCCAGCCTATGCTTATATTTTCTAAAAGACCTAACTTTATGTCTTCAATGACATTTCTTCGTTGATCAGATCCCATAAAATTATATTCCAAAATTGACACTCTTTGGGCCAGACAGGCAGCTGGCAGGTAACCAGACGCTTTGATAGCATGGGGATCCATTAAATTAATGGGAAGAATGTGCATACCTGGCCACAGATTGTATCACTCTAGAAGATGTGTCTTTGAGGGTGTCTTTCAAGTTGTCCTTTAGGTTACTAAAGAGCCTCCCTGCACCTCCTTTTACCATGTCAAAGAGACCTCCCCCATAGCTAGGCTCCATGTCTGGAGATGAGGCACCTGCCAAAATAAAAGAAAAAAACAGAAAAAAAATGTTGATTGCACAGAATCCGCAGAAAACCAAACCCTCTTCATTCTTAAAACACACATAGACTGTCTTTAGGAGTCTGGGACAGATATTCCTGAAAGTTGTGTCCCGTTCTCAGAACTTATAGACTCTGAGTTATAACACTACTGGTCCTCGGGGGAGACCCAGGACAGTCTCTCACTGAGTCCCAGGAACAGAAACCTCCAATATTGCTGCCACTAGCCGCTGGCCATGTGTGACAATTGAGCACCTGAAATATGGCTAGTCTGAACTGAAATGTGCTGTAAATATAAAACACACAATACATTTCAAAGACTTGGTGTCAAAAAAAAAAAAGGAATGTAAAGTATCTCAATATTTTTATATTGATATTACATGTTGAAATAATAATTTAGATATATTGAATTAAAGAAATTATACCTTTAAAATCAGTTTCGCCTGTTCCTTTTTACCTGTTTAGTGTGGATACTGGGAAATTTTAAGCTACATGTGTGACCTGTATTGTACTACATTTGAACAGTGCTGCTCCAAAGAGACTGCTGAGGAAGAGCAGTAGTCACCTTCAACTTCACTCCTCTGCCCTTTGATGGAGATGACTGAACGAGAAGCCCAATTCCATGGCTGCCGCTTACAGCACTGGTTCACTTCTATCATGAAGAACAGCTTCTGAAGGGACTTTAGCACTGCTTTTAGGCCTTTGGATGCTTGGTAACCATTAGTGCTATCCGTCAAATATTTCAGGTTCTCTTCCCTTAGAGCTTCTTAAAATTGTGCTTTCTGGCCCCCTGTGCTTAGCTCCAGTCCAGGGTTTCTCAGTCTCAGCATTATTGACATTTTAGGCCAAATACTTCTTTGTTGTGTCTGCGGGTGCTGAGTAGCATTCCTGGCTTCTATTGACTAGATGCCAGTAGCACCTGCCCCAACCCCCACTCCACCTCTGAGCTGTGACAATAAAAAATGTCTCCAGAGATTGGCAAATATCCCCCAGTGGGGCCAAATTATCCCTGGTTAGAAACCACTGCTCCAGCCTATAATGTGTGAGTGGAAGTGTTGTGTATAACTTCCAGGATACATTTAACTGTTAAAGTGATGTTCTCTATAGTTTCTCTCTCCTCTCTCTCTCTCTCTCTCTCTCTCTCTGTTTCTCTCTCTCTCTCTTTTTCTCTCTCTCTCCTTGCCATAGCAACCAGCAAGGTTTGAGACTGTGGCTACTCTGTTCAGGACTTCTGGATCTCAGAGAGAGAAAGGAGCTATGTGGCAGATGACCTTTGATGAATATTTAGCATAAGTAAGTAATACGGTTTGGCTCTGTGTCCCCAGTCAAGTCTCATCTGAAGTTGCAATCTCCACATGTCAGGGGAGGGACCTGGTGGGAGGTGATTGGATCAGGAGGCAGATTTTCCTCCTGTTCTTGTGGAAAACAGATTTTTCTTGAGGAAAACAGATTTTCCATGCTGTTCTCGTGACAGTGAGAGATCTGATGGTTTTAAAATGTAGCACTTCCCCCTTGCTCTCTCTCTCTCCTGCCACCATGTAAGATGTGACTTGCTTCCCCTTTAACCTCGGTAATGGTTGTAAGTTTCTTGAGGCCTCTCCAGCCATGCAGAACTGTGAGTCAATTAAACTTCTTTATAAATTACTGAGTCTCAGGTAGTTCTTTAAAGCAGTGTGAAAACAGACTAATACAGTGAGAAACGCCTATTTGTGTCACCAATCTTTTGGGAATGTTCATAACCAAAGTACAGCCTAACCTATGCAGGCTGATTCAGGAAGGAGGCAGGAATATGTGTAGAGGAGGTGGCTATTATAAACAGTGGCCAGGTAGGGGTTTAAGGCCTAGCAGTCAAGAGCACGAGTCATTCTCCTCCTGCCCAGCTTTGCTACCCCTAGCTGTGTGACCCTGGAAGTCAGTCTTCCTAAGCCTCTTTCTTCCCATTTGTAAAATAGGGATAAGAGTCGTGCCTACTCCACAGGGAAAGATTAAATAAGTGCACATAAAGCTGATGATGTGGTACCTAATAAATCTAGGGGTCAAGAGATCATAGCTAAACTCTATCATGCCATATCCTGAAATTCCTATATTGACGATTTTTATCTTTATTCACTTTCCAACTCTATAATGACAAAGGACAAGAATGGCATCTATTCTGGTTTTAAAAATTACAATACATAAGATATTTAAAATAAAGAATAATAAAAATACTCATGTAATAAGCACTATAGTTGCTAACTTATATATAACACTTACTATTTGGTAGGTATTTTTCTAAGCATTTTATCTACATTCACTCATTTAATCCTCATAGCATCCCTATGAAGTAGATAATATTATTATTTCCATGTTATAGATTATAAAACTGAGGCACAGAGGTTAACAAACTTGTCTAAGGGCACACAAGCTGGTGAATATTTATTTGCTAGCAGCGTTGAGATTAAGCCCCAGGCAACCCTTCCAATCACATCCCTCTTTCTTCTCCTAATATCAGCCTGAATTTTACATTTATCATTCCAATTAATTTATTCAAACTTGTATTATATATGTTTGAATTCACAAAAATATATTAATATTATTTTCCGTGATGTATATGTGTTCCTTCACTCTATATTCTCCTTAACATTTAGTATTGTCAGACTTTTACATTTTTACTACTTTGGCAAGTATACATCAGTATCTTACTATGGTCCTATTTTGATGAATTCCCTGATTACTAGTAAGGTGAAGTATCTTTTATTGTGCTTACTGGCCAGGTGGCTGTTCTTTCAATCATATGTCAGGTAGCTACTACATTCCTACATGCCATTTAGATGTTCATACATATATGTATAAATATGTGTTGACTGTCATGTTTTTCCATCCTGATCTAAAGAGCTACTGATACCTAATAGATGTCTAAGCCACCATTAGACATCTGTTAGAAAATGAGTCTCTGTTAGAAATTGCAAAGAACATTGAATACTGATAAACAAACAAATGAATGGACATATGGACAAATATTAATCATTTCTACTACTAACTGAGCTCTCCAGTGCCACAGGAGCTGTGCTCAGACCTTAGTGGATGTGGTTATTATTCCCAGTTTACAGATGAAGCAATGGAAGCTCAAAGAAGGAAAGTAACTCACCAAAGATTCCAGTTAGCAAGTGGAGAGTCAGCAACTCAAACCCAGATCTTGCAATTCCAAAGCCTTGCTAATCCACCATTTCATACTCTTCTACAGCTCCACTCAGCTCAGGATTCCCACAACTATAATCAAGATGAGCCTTACCTGCCTATACACAACTGCCTCTCTCCTATTCCCTGCTTTCCTCCACCTCCCACCCACACAGCTTTCATCTGGCTGCTCTCAGCAGCAGATGTCCCCACAATAAGCAGCCTCATAAATCACTGCATGCCAGGCAAACCAAGCCAATTTCAGTATGTAGGCAGCCGAGTCTCTGTCGCCCCTACTGCTTCACAGCCCTGAAGAAAAGGCCAGGAACAGGTCTAATGGCAGCTCCACAGACTGGGGCCAGTGTCACAAATCTGAGAATGTTCTCTTGTGGCCTATTTCATATGAAATACAGCACTTTATTTCCCTATAAACACACCCCCCTAAGTAAAAATCTGTATCATGTTTTTGTTTTAACTATAGTGAGGATCGAGCAGCATTAAATGTTTATAATTCCCCCATTTCCATCCCTGTAACATTTTCAGGTGTTCAGCCTGAACACTCCTTTGATACGTAACTGTTTAAGAGATGACACCAAATTGACTGGATGTCTCTTCAACTCCCAATTTTATGCTGGAATGGAACTACAAAGGCACCAATCTATTAAAAGATATAAATATCCTTGATTATCTAAAATTCAGACTCTCACCATCCCTCAGGCTGTACGCTCTGCTCATTAGAGCCTTGGAATGCTGCAGAAACCAGAACAACTTGCTAGAGTCCATCTGTAATCTCCATATATTCAAATTATATATTGAACTGGCCAGGACACACAAAAAAGAAGAGGGGCATTATTTGACATTGCTCTACTGGTTCTTTTAGGTAGATATTCTGACTGTCCCTAATGAGCCACATAAGTGTCAAAAGTGCAGATTCTGCAGATGATATTTTAGCCTCAGCTAGTTGAGAGAAAGGGCAGAGAGGTTTCAAAACTTGGCAGAACAAAGAAGAAAATGGTGCAATGAGAAAGAAATGCAGAAGAGAAAAAGAGAAACAATGACCACGGCAGATCAAGGGGTAGCAAACCGGATCCCATGGGCCGGATCCAGTCCATGGCCTGTTTTTGTATAATCCGTAAAATAACAATGGCTTTTACATTTTTAAATGATTGCAAAAAGTCAAAAGAGGAATGATGTTTCATAACGTGAAACTTATATGAAGGTCAAATTTCAATGTCCAGAAGTAAAGTACCCTTATGTGTTTACATCTCACCTGTAGCTGCCTTCATGCTACAATGTGGAGTTAAATAGTCGTGACACAGATCTTATGGCCCACAAAGTCTAAATCGTTTACTCTCTGGCCCTTTATAGAAAAAGGTTTTCCAATCCTTGCATCATATGGTTAACACCACTTGTGTCCTTAGGAATGCAGAGCTTGCCACCTCCAACACATTTCTAAACACTTTGGCTAAAATGGCACCCAGTAGAAAGAACACCCTGTGCTTACTAAGGGTCCTCAGGGATTTCAGGGTGTAAGAGAGTGGAGGTGGGGGACATCAGAGTTGAGAGAGCATGAGAGTACCATCCAAAGAGAAAGGTCCAGGTCTCTGCCTCTAAGGCTCCAAGTAGATTCTCGTTTCATGATGTCTTGTGGTTTGAAAATCTAAGCCCACCAAAAACAAACATCAGAGAATTGCACATTTACCTCTGAGTTACTTTAAGGATATGAGAAACAAGTTTTCCTTGGGATTCCTAATGTTTGGGAAACTAGAAGCGGTATCCTGTCCCTTCCAAGTTGCAGGAACCTGAACAGTTCTTGCTCTC